GTCATTATTTATTTTCTCTTGGTATACTAGATTTGAGTGTATACAAATGGAAGTGGTTGAACAATTTCTCTCTCTCCGTCGGGATGGTCATGGAGAAGAAGCCTACGAAATGCTTGCACCTGGAGCGGCTCTGGGGTGTCCTTGGGGTGGGATGCATCACGGTGAGAATGTGCTAGAATTATTAAGGGACGAGGCTAGGTTTGTGAAAAAGGGTTATTTAGATCCAGTTCCAATTGAGAAAATAGATGAAAATACCTTTCAGCGAAAGTTTAAGTGGGATCGTGGAATGTTTGAGCATGGAAACAGTGGATTCAAAGGTCTGGGAATTCTTCCTACATGGCGTGAAATTTATTTTGTTGATAATGGGAAGATTCGTCTGGTAACTTCGGACAAGCAACTCAAGAACCGATCATTATGGCACACTTTTGGACTATCGAAATTCTTTTGAGCGTTACTCACGTTCAAATTAGCATTTTTTATTTGTTTATTTCTTCCTTTTGTTGTCTGAAATGGCATTCTTATATTACATTCCATGTGAGTAGAAAGAGGCCATATATTTTTTGAGTTTATTGTTATTACTATATTATTATTATTATTTTATTCTTATTCTCATTTTTTTTTTTTTTTTTTTTTTGATTGATTACAATAATCTTCTTTTCTCCCAAAAAAAACAAACGAAAAAAACATATATATTTATGAATTCACGAGTCATTTTGGTTTTTGGTGAAAATTGTATGAAGCGTAGAAGGGAGGATGAAACCAAAAAGATCATTGCAGCTCTTCGTGCAGGTGTTGCTGCATTGAGTGTATCTAGTACCGCGGCAGCAAAAGAGCTTACTTGCCGAGATGCACATTTGAGTGCCATTGTGGAATTTTTGAACGACAGTGTCCATCCTGTCATGCAGATTTTTGGTATGCCCGGGACGGGGAAAACTGCTTCTGTCAATCATGCGCTCACTCTTCTTGCTCAATCTGCTCCTCCAGGAAGGAAGCCGACGGCGGTATTTCTTAACGGCTACGTGATTCAGAAGAACTCAGATATATACTGGACATTAAACTCTCATCTAAGCAAAGCTCGTCTTGGGCACACTGAAAATTGCTTACCTGATCAGTGTGCCGCATTAATCGAAAAGCGTTTTAGACAGGGTTGGGGTGGCGCCTCAACTCCTTTGTGTGTTATTGTTATTGATGAAGTCTATAAGGTTTTAAAAAGACATAACAAGGCGTTTTTTAGAATAGTGGACTGGTTGAGTTTCCCTTTTGCGTTTTGCAAACTCGTTACAATTTCCAACAGTATGGACTTGGCAGCAGATGCAAAGACAAGAAGTCGACTGGATATCACTAAAAGATTGGTTTTTGAACCTTATAGCTTCTCTGAACTGAAAGAAATTCTTTTGAGAAGAGTTGGCAAAATTAAACCAACATTATTTGCTGAGAAAGCCATCAATTATTTATGTAACCAGACAGCTTCCCATTATGGAGATGTGAGACGCCTATTACAGTCTGCGTCGTCTGCTGTGTGTGGTCTCATGATGAAATTGGAAGAGGGTTATCGTGTTCCTGAAGCACAAGATGTTTTGTTGACTGTTAAAGATGTTCATGCGGTTGTTCGACAAATATTTCATGACCGCTTTGTAGAATTTATTCAAACTATTAGGCTGCCCATACTTTTTATCAGTGTGGCTGTTGTAGCCCATGAGACGAATAAATTGTTTCGATCGAGCCCAAGTGATTGTCGTTTATCTTTGGATAGTTTGTTTTTATCAACGAAAAGGGCCCAACAAATCTACAGTGCTTCTCTCGGTGAGCCTCATACTGTTGATTTAACCTATGGGGCTTATTTGGACATTGTGGAAATGCTGCGAGAAGTGGCTTTGATTGATGTTTCAATAGGAGAAGAACGTATTCCTGTGAAGACGGCGCAAAATCTTCTTGAGGCCACAGAAAAAGCGTATGTGCCAATGTTGCAACCATTTCCTACAGTATTGGATGCGTGTCAATTACACGACGTATTTGGCGAAGGGATAAATCCACTCTTCAAAACTTAATATATCTAAAGGCCATAGAAAATAGATTTTGTTTTATGCTATGTGCATACCGGCATTGAGTGTTTTTTCTTTTTGTTGTTGATTGGTGGTGACTTTGATTTTCTCTGTTTTTCTGTATTGCCTTTTTTTTCTATTTCATATATATATATATATATATTCACTGAATAGTGATGGTCTCACCCCACGGAGGAGCTGGAGGCTCCCATTTTGCAACCGCAGCCAGAATTCTATTTGACTCTGCAAAGAAGGTGGGCGCGGTGGAGCCACTAGGCGAGACAAGTAAGCGTTATGCACAGCAGTTAAAAAGGATTCAGTCTCAAAGCCAAAAAAAGGGTGGATCATTGGGAAGTGTATCATATAAAGTTGCGGAATTTTTGGCCACTCAGCGAACTCCGAAACCGAATATCATCAGGAATTCTACTAGCATCGCAAAGCGAGTTCCGTTAATTGACATCCCACGCCAGCCTCCAAAAAAAAAGGACGTCTCAATCGCGGTAAAGCCACACACTGAGAACGTGCCCCCCTTGGACTTTATTACCAATGAAGGGAAAACTCCAGGTGTACAACCAGCTAGGCCCAAAGAGACGGTGGCACATACAAAAACCTCCCACTCAGAGTCTTTAATTAGTAACCGTGTGGTGCCCACCTTGGATTTTGTTACGGAGCTCAGGAAGACGAAGGTCTCATCGCCCGATGCAAGTGCGATGCCATTAGTTGTAATGAAGATGGAGGCGGCAGATACGGAGAAGCAAGAAGAAATTAGGGATGTGGCGACCATCGTCAAACCACCAAAGGCCACGATTGTTGAGGAGAAACCCCTTTTTGAAACCACTGTTGTCTCCGCACAGAAACCGTCATTTTTGGCTGAGCATGATTTGGCCACACTTTTTGAAAAGGTTGTGCATGTCCCGGAGAAAATTGTAAAGCCAAAAATCACGGTGCCAATTTCTGCAAAGGAACCAAGCGCAAAGGTTCCGCATGTTGAACCTGTAAAAAGTGGAGCCATGTCAGTTGACGCATGGGAACTTCAACGCGAGCGGGAAATAGAGCAATTGCGAAAGTCTCAAGAAAACGCAGAAAAAGAACGACTTGCCATGAAACGAGAGGAGGAACACAAAACGCTGGGAGATGAATGGGTTCAGCATAGAACGACAGTGGCAAAGAAAACAGTGGGACAGACCGATTTAACGGCATGCATGATTGAAAAAATGTATTTTTCCAATCAGTGGGAAGCATGTTTTAAATCTTTTGGGCAACTGGTTTCCATTTCAGGCGCGTCCAGCTCTGCGCTCAAACAAGCTGTTCGCATCATGGAAAGTCGACTCAGATATGTCCCACTAGAGCAGAGGGAGATAGTGAGATCAGCTCTATTGAAGGAGTTGAAGCAAAGAAGACTGCACGATGAGGTTGTCAAGTTTGAGCTACGCCACTGCGTTGGGGAGGCATTCCTTCAGCTTTATCACTCTGCTCCAAGCAGCGTGAAGGACACCTTGGATTTTTACACGGTGGCAAAGGCTATTTCATTGCTGGTTAGCGCTGGATCGTGGCAAGAGGCTGTTGAACTTGTTGGCAACTCGCAGAAGCGTTTCAATGATAAGACAGGCCTTCATGAATTAAGGCTTTTGTTTTCTGCCTCCTTCCTGGATAAAGACGCAGCGAAGAGTGTGAAGGAATTTGTATCTGGAACACTTGCCGCTTTTGAACGATTTGGGAAGGTGCACAAGCTCCAGCTGGCGAAAATGGAAAAGGGTGCTCACAGACGACAAATGATCTTACAGCTCATCGCCTCAAATCATGTGGATGAAGCGATCTATGCCGAGTTGCTTCGAATCACTCCGACTGAGAATATAAAAGATGTGCTGGATGAAATTCGCAAGCGGGGACTTAATCCAGAGGATCCAGCGATTCTTGCCGCTGTCTGTTGGAAGACGTTTGACCCGGAGAACCCGCAGGTTTTGTTCCGAGAAATTGAAAAGCAAGAGAAGAAGACTGGAATTCGCCCAGCACACCTGTTAGCCGCCGTCGCCATGGCAAGAGCTTCCAAAACGAGAGAGACGTTGCGATCAACAGTTTCCATCGTAAAGAAGGCACCTATTTTCAAAGCCAGATTTACACTTCGAAAACTGCTTCCTTTGTTGCATGAAAATAATATGCAGAAGGAAATTGTAGAATTAGCAGACTTCTATAAGGACCACGTGCCTGTAGCAACAGCGCTTCCCCAGGCTGTTGCTTTTGTAAACGATGCCCTCCAGGCGGAGGGACGACCCCCTCTCTCAGAACAAACAGTTAGCAAATTGCAGCTGGGTGACAAAACATCGGGGTCGGGCGTTGGATCTACAAAAGCAACAGCACCCACAGAAGCAACAGGGGCTTTAACGGCGGGAAGTGAGATCTCGTCTGAGGCCATGCTTCAATGCGCCAAGGATCGAAATTGGATGAAGGCACTCATGTTGATAAATTCAAGCTTTCCAGCATTGGCGAAAACAGCTGATGCCGATACGCTAACTCTGTTTTATAACTGTGCCCTTAGTGCCTCGGTAGAGAAGGTAGAGGTGGTCCAGTCCATCTACAGTTCCATGAAACAGAGAGGCGTACAAGTCAATGCAACAACGAACAATGCGGTGCTGAGTAGCCTGATGAGGTGTGGGCGATCGCAAGAGGCCATTGAGTTCTATAGTCAGACGGAAATATCCGCGCGAGACTCCAACACACACTCCGTAATGCTTTCCCTCTACGGCAAGATTGGTATGTGGGAAGAGGCGTTGGAACTCATCAAGTGTGCGAGAGGAGGGTCCAAAAAGTTACCACCTATGATCTATACGTTGGGCATTAACGCTGTGCATAGTCATAGTTGGAGCGCAACTTTAGCTCTTTTCCAAACATTGCGAAAAGAGCATGGTGACGTTGCCATTAAGCAGGCGGTAGTGGACAAGGTGGTGCGTTGCCTCTCACAGAACAAACGCACTGCAGAAATACAGAAGTTGGAATTGGAGTTGGCTAAAAAGAAGAAAAAGCAATGATCAAAGAATCATCATTTTTTGGTGTGTGTTTTGTTGTGGAGAAAATCCCTTTGTTTGTTTGTTTGTTTTTCACTTTTCCTTTTATTACCGGACCGCAGACACACACACAAAAAAAAAAAAAAGAAATGTGTGCTCATATTTTTTGGGTGTTGCGTCGTTTTTGGGGAGTGGGTGGTTGGACATTCGGTTATGAATATATATATATATTGCTTTGGGTGGTGCGGCCTTTTCATTAGCACTATTTTTTTTCTTTTTTTTTTTTTTTTAGGGCGACAGAATGGGTGGAAAATGCGAGGATGATTCTTTTTCTTTGAACGAAGGTAATGTCCTAAATAGTTTTTTTGTTTCATGTGTGCGGCTACGATTCACTCCTCTCAACTTTGAATTGGAAAGACGCACGGTACATCTGCTCCGACAGATGCTAATGAGCTCTTTTAACCAAACACGCGCCTGGGATGCACTTAGAAGGACGCAGCTGCTTAATCTTGTAGTAGAAGCTCTGGGATCACGTTCACGACTACATTCTCTTGCGTCTGAAAGTACCATTCTTGAAGATTATATGCGAGTGGTAGAGCTTGCCGCTGAAGCGAATGCTTTTGAGTGTATGCGCCAAATTACTCTCGACGGGAGCACTGACGCTGGATTGTTTGCCTTTTTTACACTTTTGGTAAGAATTCCTTTGCTTGATGGAGGGTTAAACCTTCATCGCGCCTGTTTAAATTCATACGTGCGGACCATTTTGCTTTTGTTGTCGGATGCGAGGAGTTGTACTCTCCTAACCCGCATGAGGCTCTCACCGATGCAGTTGCTTCTTAATTCACTTGCCCAAACCCCTTTAGATCGGCAAGATGTCTCTCTTTTTGGGTTCCGAGGCATAGTTCAGATACTGCTGGGCACTTCTCAGTTGACCAAAATGTGGGTGGAGGATTTTGCCAATTTCGATGGTCCAGCGAAGTGCCTATCGACCATTATTCAATGGTGCAGCATGAACGAAGACTTAAGCGCTCCCCTGTGTGAGAAGAGCACACTGCTGTTTGATATTCTTTGTCTTTTCCTTTCGCTTCCTGATAGTGGAAGATTGCCTTGTCACTCGCTTTACATCTACCTCATGTCTTTTCATTGGGAAATGGAAGAAATGGAGCCGGATCCATCAGTTTATAAATCCACATTGGGCTTGTTCGGACTTAGGCTTCTTGTGCGGGCCGCTCTTGTAGCCATGAAACGTCGGCGTTTGTTATTTTATTACCTTTCCCGACTCCTCACCTGTGCAATTCGCATCGGTAACGCTGACATTGTGGCGGCTGGGCTTGTTAGTGGGGATATGGTGGATGTGCTAAGGCGATATATGTATTACTGCTCTGAGATGGACGAAGTGGGTTTGGGAAGTGTGATAGCGACCATAGTGCGTCTGTGCCTGATGGTATGTGCCTCGCAGACGAGGTACGTAAAACAAAAAAATGGAGGCTTTCGGCTTTGCGCTCTTGTAGTGGAGCTTGCCTCGGGTCCCAACACGAGGACTCTGCGGTATACTATTCAAACCCTCACTCTGTTGGCCGGCCTTGGGAATGAAACGTTTTTTTTCACCAAGCTCGTTTCCGCAGGGCTGTTTGAAGAACTTAGTAAACGACTTCAATATTTATCTAGCCCAGGTGAAATTCAGTTGGTGATCGAGTTGTTAAAGGAGGTTTGTACAAGGGTGCCTTCCCTGCAAGGAAGGTTTTTACGGATTTCCGATACTATCGTTGACTTGATGCAAACTGAGGCGAAGAATGGACCGAGACTTCTTCTGGAGTCTGCCGATTTATTGTCTCTTGTAATGGTGCAGTTCCGAGAGGGTGAGTTAAAAATTCAAAAATCATTGCAGCGGCTGCTCACTCAGACAAACTTTGAGTCCATCGGATCTATCATAACCAGTTGTTGGGCGTTACAGACATGTATACGGTCTGTAAATCTATGTTCAGCTGCACGAGTGTTTGATCTGACGGAAGTTGAGAGTATATTAGTTTGCTTTAGAGACCTTTGTGTGAGTATGGGCTCCATCTTTTGTTTAAAGTTGAGGAACTTTGATTTTTGCGCATTGTATGATGAAATGAGCGCCTACCACCGTCATCAGAGGGATGCGTGCGTGACGGAGCAGCAGCCGCAGCAGAGGTATCTTCTTATGTGTGATTTTTTATTACTTGTAACGCATCTTATAAGTCTTCTTCATGTAAATGCCCCAGAGAAATCCAGAATAGTTCTTTCTCGTAAGCTTGAAGAAATCATTGTCGCCGGACCGTTTCTTCAGTGCCGATTGTATACATCTATTATTACCCGGGCATTTCTGGGAATGTGCTCAGTTAGCTCTTTTGTTCTTTTGGGCGAAATTCAAGCTTCAAAGGAGCCCTGTATTGACGTTTCTGTGACACGTCAGGATTTAACATCTGGGTGGAAACTTTGCACTTCCTACGGGGACGATTTATTTGCGTGTGAGAAGCAACGTATTGTCTTTCCCGAGTATCTCCAAAGTTTGTTTAAAGTGCTCTATCGACAATCGCAAACGGCAGAGCAAGCTTTACTAGGAGCGTCAATAATATATCTTCTTCTTGATATTTACTCCAACTTCTTGGAAAACATTTACGCCCTGGCGGAGAGAAGGACGGTAACACTGTTGTCAGAGATATTGGCGGTGACAATTGCAGGGGATGAAGGATGCATGAGAAAATGTATTCAACAACTCGTCACAGTTACACAGAAGTTGGGTGCATGCGGCTTTAGTCATAATGCACTGCTTTTCTTGATACAAATGTGTTTGCGTAGACGCACGGTGGATTCTGTGGAGTATGAAAATGTGGCCACCACAACTGTACTTTCAGCATGGAAGAAGATGTTGCAGAATTCCACTCCAAGTTCTCAGCCGATGTCTTTTTGGGGAATATCTGTTGGCTTCCCGACCGTAACAGGATGCCAGATGACTGCCATACAACGCCTCAAGAGTGATATGGGGCTCTATGGTGGAGTAGACATACCGATCAATCTGACCGTTCCAAAGGGCAGAAAGTGTATTTCAGCCGTACTTTGGTTTCTCGTGGAGAAAAGTACGCCCCTGTCCGTAGAAGACGCTGATTTTGTTTTGTTATCACTTTTTATGGATCGAAATAATCTTTCGTTACTGTTGGTTCTCTCCGACGGGGGTGGGTTAAGTCTGAGAGTCGTGTTGCAGGGAAATCGGGGTCAAACTTCAAAGACTGTCCCTGTACCATTCATAAAAGTTCCGAGGGAGAAGTGGTGTATGGTTTCAATGTCAGTACTTTTGGGGCATCGGGCAAAAACATCAATTTATACAAAACTCCGCATGGATATCAGAATTTCGTTACATGCTGCTTCTCATGATGCCGTTTCATCTTCAACTGAGGCAACCCTCTGTATTGAGATTTCTCTTGGCGTATTGGGAAGGGTGGATCGTCGGCCGTGGAAAGTGTATTCAGTCTGCTTGGGTGCCTCTTGTGCATCTACCGATGCCTGCCCGCAACAATTACTCTTTGGGTCTCTCGGAATGTTTGCGGGTCCCTTATCCAAGTTGGAAAAGACATCTCTGTTTGTGATGGGGAGCGATAATCTTTTTTCCCTTTCTTTCATGGACAGAAATTTTGTCATTGACCTATATCCCACCTTGGCGAACGTAATGGAACGGGAAGAAGGGAAGCTTACGGAGGAACTTATGTTGCTCTCAGCAGTGTGGATACGAAGCGGAATTCCTAACACGAAGGGTCAAGTTCGGTTTTCCAGAGCCCCTTTTCCGTTTGGTAATTACCGCAGCAAGGAATATTTGCCTGTCGTTGTGGGTGTTTTTGGTGGTGAACTCTGCCTAGTGACACAGCCGGAGCGTCGTGGACTTTCCGGTGACATGGCTGAACGACAAGATGCGGATGTAACGTCATGGAGTCCAGCGGTTCACCGCCTGACGAAGATTGGATCCGTGACACTGGTCTCTCTTAGACTCTCCACTGACGAGGAAAATATTCGCCTCTTTGGAAGCATGTGGGTGGAAGCAAACGGTCCACGATTTCATTCCGTGACGCCGATTTATTCTGCTCTGGATGCTGTTGGGGGGATTCCGTTTTTTGCCTGGCTGGCTTCGTTGCAGGCGCCACATTCAAAAGCGTTTGAAGAGGTGTGGGAATGTGTATGCGCCATTATACTTGGACACTCACCGGAAAGTCTGTTGTGCCCAACACCATCGCATGGAGGTCGACACCTTGTAGTTCTACTAAGAGCAATGCTGCATGCTCGTATAGCAATATCGGAGAAAATTGCGGCTTCATTGTTTGAAGCCGTTGGACATTGTTTAATTGTGAGGGCAGACCTCTTATCGCTTATGCTTGACTTTACATTATGGTCTCAAGACGCCGATGCGTTTCGCATGGTGCTATGCAAATTAGAAAAATACGCAGTGGATCCTCAGTACGGTTCTGTCAATAGTCAAATTCTTCGGTTTGGAGCAAATTCTCAATTTGGGGTGAATGGGTGTTATGCCTTGGAGAAATTTCTTATGCATCTTCTCATGCATTTTGCGGGTCACACTAATGGTAACTGGGACACTTCTATTATTGGTTGCGCGATGAGCTTTGTGACCGCCTTATGTTGGAGGACTTCTCATCTGAGAAAAATCGTACAGGCCGTCATCTGCCTGTTTATGGGTAACGAGACACCTCAGTTGGTTCTTGTGGAATGGGCGGTTGGACTACTGAATGTTGTCCATAGTGTCATGAGGACGAGTGACCCTGGGAAGTTGAAAGAAGATAAATTTCTTGTTTCCAGTGTTGTGGCCCTCTTGAAATGTTCGGATGAGATGGTGCGGTGCAAGGCCCTCCCCTTGTTTTCATACTTGCTGATACCGCGAGAGCAAATTGTTGCCGCGGTAGATGTGTACTTGACCCGAAAGGCGACTTTTCCAGATTCTCCTTGTCTCTCTAAGAAGGAGCTTGACATAATTACGGATGTGGTTCGGCAAGGCGCAAAATTGGGCGAAACAGGGCGAGTACAGGCCCTCGTTTCATTTCTCCTTGCGCTTTTTTTGCATCTGCCAACCGCCTTTCAGATGCAGATTATGCAGCTTTTGCGCGAAGTCGTTGAAAATAAAGGGTTATCCTCACGTGACCTTCTTTGCGGTGCTGAGGGTGGTGAGTGTTTAGTGGAGCCGATACCAAGTTACTTGATTGGCATTTTTCCCACTGTGGCAAGTGAAGGGTCTGCCGTGATGGAGCCTTTTATTGAGCTACTCACGGCCACGGCGGTGCAGATGATTAAAGTCTCATGGGGTTCAGAAGATGCTACTTGTAAACATCTGCTGCGCGATGCAATACGGGTTATTTTCCAGACGCTTCCAATAAGGGGCGAAAACGAACATGCGCGTGTAGGTGAGATGGATCTCAATAGAACAGGAATGTTTTTGAATTGCTTTGGTGCGCCGTGCTTTCACATGTTTGCCGTTCTCTCAAAGCGTGGCTGCTCCCTGTCGCTTGTGGACGATTATTTTTCTTTTATCCGCTCCAATGCAGACATTGTGATGCTTT